CCCCCCCCCCCCCCATCAAACCCAGGCTCATACACCAATACGTAACTTTGAAAAATATTTTCCACGCATTCACAGGGACTTATTGCAAGACAGTACGTAAAATGATAATTTCACGGCAGTTTTGCATTTTCCTTTGTAATCAATCATCAAGTATATCGAGTTTACTAGATACTTATTCGGACAATCACAGAAGGATCAGTCGGTGGAATATTAGTGTCTTTCTTTTAAGTTTAGTCGATTTGAAATATAATTCGTGATTCAGCTTCTCGGAGTCATCAATGTTAGTATATATTTATTAAACATCATCGCAATAATTTTGGTTTTATTAGACGACAGACAATCGTAGAAAACATTAAACAAACCACTTTTTGTAAACAGTCGTTTCCTTTTTCTTTTTACCCCAAGGCTGGTCAGAAGTTCGGGAATTTATAATTTTTGTACGGAAGGGGAGAATTGACGGGTAAGTTTAAATATTGACATAATACTAGACAAGTCAGAAAAATTGTTTGTGAAATGAATATGTCCACCATTATTAACGTATAAATCTACCATGCATTGATGAGTTAGTTCAACACAACGTACTCTTTAGGAATTGTGCAATAACAATTTTCGTAAATCACATTTCGTGATTTAGTCCCTAACTGAAGTGATGTTATGTTAACTGCCGGGGTATTTTGATGTATTTTACGTACTTAATTTCTAGTAAAGCAGCTAACATTATTCGCGGGTTTACAGGTCGACTGGGTGACAGTCGATTGGAATGGATGTGGGAACTGCCTCAAAATACTCGATTAATCCTCTTCATCTCTGCTCAGATCCACGAGTTTCTCTTATCAAACTGGTATGAAAATTGCCAAATTTATCTCTCTCTCACAAGAACTTATCGTTTATCCAAAGCGAATATTTTCTATTATTCTTCTAAAATGAGTATTCGTTAAAGAAACCAATAGGTAATTTTAATGGCATAAGGAGAGAATGCGATCGTTGCTTATTTTGATTTTATCGGAAACTGACCGTGATACAATTGATATATTCGTATACTTAATGGACCAATGGTGTCATGAAGGGCGAATGTTAATTTAAAATTACAAAAGAGAAAAAAAAACAAAAAAAAAAAAAAAATCAAAATGTCTACATTAAAGACATTAACATTAAGAATGCACGGCATACATAGTATATATATTTTGGAGACACCGAATAGAATGGGTAGACAAATATAAATATCTTGGGTATGATTTTCACGACACTTCAAAATTTCTCTCAGTCTGTCACAAGAGCTCTTACATTTGGTTTAAACATATTGAAAGCAAAGGTTGGTCAGATGAGATTTCACTTATCAGAAGTTGTTCAGTACGTAGTTGTGCAGCTCCAATACTAGAGAAACGGTCACACTTTGGGCAAATTCCGTGAAATGAGGAATAGGAAAATGTTGCGTACCTAGGGGTTCATCGTTTCCCGCCAAAGTTAGGTGTATATGGCGATTCAGATTTGATCCCGTAGAAATATAGTTATCTTGCTCTGGCTGTGTTAAAAAAAGTAGCTAATAGAATTCTTACAAGTCAACGTACTGTTAACAATTCATGGTAGCATTTATTCAGTCTAAATTACAATATGGTCAAAGTGATTATTTATAACCAAGTCTTTTTGAATAAAATTATTTGCTAGATTTTATATCATTATAAATATATGTTGGCGAAAACGGGGGTCACCGTATCGAGCGTAGGTTGGGAATAGACAGATAACGATGAATAAACTTCGCTCTAATGATGTAACACACAATTATAAAACCTGAAGCGTATTATATATATATATATATATATCGTATTATATATATATATATATATATATATATATATATATATATATATATATATATATATATATATATATATATATATGCCCAAAAGAAATAGAATGTGAAAAACACTTATTACGTCAGTGCCTAACATTTTATTTTCAGTATTTCATATATACACAAAAACACAAACATTCTAGGTCAATACTGCCAACAGTATATCTTAGGACAGCCACTAACAATCTGTGTAATTTAAAGATTTGACAAAATAGCGACTTTTCTAATGAAAATTTAGCTTATTTTGTTTTTCTAGAAATGTCAGCCTCAAGATTGTCCAAATGATGTAAAGGAGGTGTAATTACTCAATCTTTTCATAGAGGAAAATTGTGAATTTTACAGATACTGTATTGTTTAAGTCATAATCATATTTCTTATAATTGGAGCATTCCTGTTAAGTGGAAGCAACAAAATTAAACTGCAGGCTATTCTACATCTATTCTATGTGGTAAAAATGTTATACAGAACTATAATTTTTGTGATTATAAGATTATGTAACAAGAAAGCTGATAACTTTTGCCCATTGAAAAGATCAAGAAATAACCGTAAATTATAATTTATAAAAGGAGAAAATAGAACATTGATGTAGCAATGATGTAGCATTGACTAGCAGCAATGCTATTTACTTGCATTTTTGATCAAGCAGTGGGACAAATCAACTTCCCCCATGTCACATCATAGTCAATTTGTTAATTGACTGATTAGTATGCCATGAATTTGATTAAAAAATGAACAATTAAATTATAAGGGATGGCACTGTCACTAATGCTTAAAGGCCAAATGAAAATTAAAAAAAAAAAAACTGAAAAATGCTTACTGTAACCGTTTTATGTATGAATGCCAAAAGTTACTATCAATTACCAAGAGAAAATTACTAATGTGGTCATGGAAAAAAAACTGTAAAAACTTTATTTTTTGCACAAATAAATTGGTTTCTTTGCCATTAATTTTCATAGTCACTTATTGGTCCACATAAGAAATTAACCAAAAGGAGCACTTCTTGGCCTGTAAGTCATCTGCCCCATTAAGTTGATAGGACGTGTTCTCTCCTACTGACTTTGTGCAGAACTTCTGAGCTGTTCCAGGTGAACACAAAACTATAAAGTGATCCTCTCTTCCAATTTGTACAATCCCCAGCCATCCCTGCTGTCCACCTCAGGATTGTCCAAATGATGTAAAGGAGTTGTCTCTGTAGGGGTCATAGTCTTGTCCATAATCATCAGAACTAGGGAAGTTTGAGGGGTAACTGCTCTTGGGTAGGGGTGGAGGTATAGGCTGGAGCATAGGTATAGGTGGCACTGGAGGCAAGGGAGGGGGTTGGAGTTGACGTTCTGATGTCACATTTGACTGAGAGCCAAAAGTTGTGGCTGCTCCTGATGAACAACTGGCTACAGAGGAAGCTGATGGTGCTGGGTTTGACTGGAATTGGTAAAAGATACTAATAAAGTTATTCACAAAAAATAAAAAATAAATCATCACATCTTGGTTTATAAATTTAAGAGATGAAGCCTATCTACACTGAGATATTGGTTTATAAGAAGAATGAAGTGCTATTGGTTTATATTAAGACATGAAGTCTACCTACCCCACAATTTTTATAATTTTTATAATGAGACACAAAGTCTACTTACCCCACCAGCCTTATTTTGTCTGTATGCCATCAAAGCTTGGGACAGTACATTGGACACCTGCAGAGCCATGGCCGCCTCATCCTCATTGTTCACCAGACACTGCGACTGAAGACATTAATTCAGTTATAATGAAAATATACAACTTAAAATCATATATCAAATAAAGAATAATTAATATTCAATAAAGCTATAAAACGAGTTTGCGGGGGTTTGCAAGAAAAAAATTATTGCTGCTAATTTGCAGCTATATTGCAGAAAATTTGCAAGGAATCGCAGACCCATAGAATTTCATAGTCATACCTTGAAAATACCAATTTAAATAAATAAATTAATTAATACATAAATTGATAAAAATAACTTCAAGAAAAAAACCTGATCAGCCTGGTTTCAAACTCAACCAGTAAATTAGTAATATTGATCACTTTTTTAAGTTTGAAGTCAATAGGTCAACTGGTTTTCCACTTTATGCCTTATTCATCATTGTACATTTGCAGACAAAAGGTCTGAATATATCACTTTTGTCACATCATGATATTTCACATAAGTCACATCTAAATACATCACATCTAAATATATCACAGAGCTCACCAGTGTCTGCAGCATCCCTTTCATTCCACTGCTTTCACTATCAAGTCTCTCAGCCAAACTGTCTCTCTGAACACCAGGCTGTGGTAGCCCTCTGCGGTACTCTGGGTCTCTCTCCCTGGTATACTCTGGTTTCTCATAGAAGTCACTGCTAGAGCCTCTAAAAGCATCCCTTGATTCTAGTCCACGGGAATCATCATAAGAATAGTTTCTCTAAAAATACAGATAGTTATTACCCATCTATTTGAAGTGTGTGAGAAAAAATTATGAAGTAAAATTTACACCTCTTTCTTTTAATTTTCAACAATCTATTCAAAAAAACAGTGTAATGTGAGACAGGGAAAAAAAAGAAAAGTCAAACATATGGATGCAATCCTTAATACTGTTCTGTTTTATCTTGGTCATTAAAACCATGAAATAAGTCAAAAGGGTTTTGTTTACCTTCTGACATTTACCAGACTTAAATATTTATAAAAACAAGGCAGCAAAGCTGTCAAATGTACAGACAAAAAGCAGAAAATAATAATGCAAAAAATAGGCTACTGTCAATTATGATGCAAAAATACATTATGCTTAACTACAAATTCAACATCAAATTTTAATTATGCTCAACAGGTAATACCAATGTAAGTAAAATGTGTAACAAGCATAAGGCTTCAGGCCACGGGAGTTCAAGTTCACACTTTGAAAATACCAGAATGAGAAAAATGAAAATTTCACACAAAATTGTATAAATTCAATAATAAATGATAACCCAATTGAGCTGGCTTTCTAATTTGAACTGTATGCCAATCCTAAAAATCATACTTGTAAGTTAAAAATAATAATAAGTAACACCGTTTTCTTTTCATAATGTTTGTAGTAGCAGTGCAAAAAGATTTTTGTCAATTTTGATGTAAAATTACATAATAAATTACAGAATAATTATCACCAATTTTTGATTATTGACTATAAATAGCATGGACATGTAGAAAATTTGATTACCATTCAGCTTCATGTCCATGGGAGCTCTGAGTCCCACAATGAATATGCCAACAGGATAAAAATGAATATTTCACTAAAATTAATTTTTTTTTTTTAAAGATATATAAGTCTGTCCATCCACCACTTTTTAGGTACTCCAATATATCAACAGTGGTTGCCACCTGCCACCTCCACCTACCACAAATGTTATACTTTCTATGGTTATATGCCTATGTCAAGTTGATTCGGCAATAAACTATACTATATACTATATACTATATACTAAAATTAATAACTTCTAGAAAAAGAAGCCAATTAGACTGCTTTTCCAACTCAGGCTGCATTTAAGTCCTGTGTTTCTATTTTGAAAGTTTGACAATCGTAAGTAACATGGTTTTCTCATAATGGTCATCATGGCAGCAGCACCAAAAATTGTGTTTTCTTCTTTTTTTGATGCAATATTACATAATGTTTAACAGCATAATGACCATCAATTTTTAATAATAAAATATTCGTATCATGGATTTTCAGAAAATGTGACTAGCATGGGTCTTCAAGACCATGGAGGTTCTAAGTCGCACCTTCAAAATGCTAATATGTGAAAAATTAAATTTTCACAAAAAACTGTTTAACTGCCAGAAAGAATAAGCAAACAGATTGCTTTGCCTCCTGAAGCTGTATTTTAGTCCCATGTTTCTTTCCTGTAAGTTTGAGAACAGTAAGTGACATGGTTTTCCTTAAATGGTCATCATGGGAGCAGTGTCCAAAATAGGGGTTTCTTCACATTTTGATGCAACATTACATAATGTTTAACAGCATAATGATTATCAATTTTTAATAATAAAATATTAGTATCATGGATATTCAGAAAATGTGACTAGCAAAGGTCTTCAGGTCCATGGAACTTCAAAGTCACACCTTGAAAATGCCAAAATGTAAACAAGACAGCACTGTTCTGAAATGGCTTTTTTTCCATTTTTAACAATTTTTTAACATAAAACAACATTAACAGTTTACAGCCATTTTTATATGATCAACTAAGAAAATTGATGAGATGTGTTAAGGGGTCAAGGATATGAAAAATACGTCTTAAACTCGATTTTTAGTTTTTTATATGTTAGAAATAATCAATATCGTATCTAATACTCAATTAAGTTATATTTTTGCAACACGGACTAAAAATATACATTTGGACGAGTTTTTCTACCTGTCTGTGGCAGCCTTTAGGCTCGGCCTCCGTTGTCAAGCACCGTTACTATGG